GTCATTCAATATTGTACTGGCTATTCTTGGTCTTTTGCTTCTCCATATAAACTTTAGAATACCTCGTTGGAATTTTGATTGGGATTGCATTGCATATATAGATCAAGTTGTGAAGAACTGACATCTTGACAATATTGAGTCTTCTATCCATGAACATGGAATATCTCTCCATTTGTTTAGTTCTCCTTGGATTTCATTTATCAGAGTATGGTAGTTTTCCTCATATAGATATTGTGTATACTTTGTTAAATTTATAACTAAGTATATTTTATTTTGGGGAATGCTAAGGTATGTGATATTGTGTTTTTAATTTCAAATTCCACTTATTCATTGCTGGTATATAGGAAAGCAATTGACTTTTATGCTGGGTACAGTGACTCATGCCTGTAATCCCAGTGCTTTGGGAGGCTGAGATGGGCGGATTGCTTGAGGTCAGGAGTTCAAGACCAGCCTGGCCAACATAGTGAAACCCCACCTCTACCAAAAAATACAAAATAAGCCAAGTGTGGTGGCACATGCCTGTAGTCCCAGCTACTCAGGAGGCTGAGGTGGGAGAATCACTTGAACCCGGGAAGCAGAGGTTCCTTATATACTGATACAGTATATAAGGTTAATATAGAAAATTGTAATATATAAGATTGTATCAATTCTTTCAGATTTTCTATGTAAACAATCACGTCATCTATGAACAAAGACAGTTTTATTTCTTCCTTCCCATTTATTTCATGTTCTTGCCTTATTGCATTAGCTAGGCCTCCCAGTATGATGTTGAAAAGGAGTGGTGGTAGGGAACATCCTTTCCCCTTTCTCATCTTAGGAAGTATCTCATTTCTCACCATTAACTATGAAGTTAACTAGGTTTTTTGTAGATATTCTTTATCAAGATGGAGAAGTTTCCCTCTATTCCTAGTATACTAAGAGTTTTTATCATGAAGGGGTATCGGATTTTATCAAATGCTTTTTCTGCATATATTGATAGAATCATGTGATTTTTTTTTTTTAAGCCTATTGATTTGATGGATTACATTAATTGGTTTTTGAATGTCAAACCTGCCTTGCATACCTGCGATAAATCTCCCTTGGCTGTGGTGTATATTTCTTTTTAGGCACTGTTGGATTCCCTCTGCTAATATTTTATTGGAGGTTTTTGAATCTGTGTTCATGAAAGATACTGGTCTGTCTTTTTTTGTTTGTTTGCTCTTATAATGTCTTTGTCTAGTTTTAGTATTAGGGTAATGCTGACCTCATAGAATGAGTTAGGAAGTATTCCCTCTGTTTCTGTCTTCTGAAAGAAATTATAGAGAATTGGTATAATTTCTTATTTAAATGTTTGGTAGAATTCACCGGTCTACCCATCTGGGCCTGGTGCATTCTGCTTTTGCAAGTTGATTAAATTGTTATTGATTCAATTTCTTTAATAAGTATAGACCAATTTATAGTATCTGTTTCTTCTGGTATCATTCAAGGAATTTTTACATTCCATCTAGGTTATCAAATTTGTGAGCATGGGGTTGTTTACAGTATTCTTCTCCTATCCTTTTAATGTCCATGGACTCTGTACTAATGCTCCCACTTTCATTTCTGCTATTAGTAATTTGTGTCCTCTCTATTTTTATCTTAGTTAGGCTAGAGGCTTATACATTTTATTGATTTTTTTTCGAAGAACCAGCTTTTGGTTTCATTGATTTTTCTCTATGGCTTTCCTGTTTTCATTGTCATTGATTTCTCCTCTAATTTTTTATTATTTCTGCTCTTCTGCATATTTTAGATTTAATTCGCTTTTTGTTTTAGTTTCTTAAAATAGAAACTTAGATGATTGATTTTAGATCTCTCTTCTTTTTTAATATATGCATTTAATGCTATAAATTTCCCCCAAACACCACTTTTGCTGTACCACATAAGTTTTGATAAGTTGTGATTTCATTTTTTTTAGTTCAAAATATTTTTAAGACCTTCACTTTATACTGAAACATTCGGAGACATGAGAGTAAATTATTAAACCTCATTGTTTTAGACCAATAAAGCCCTATCTGTTTAAATTGCCAATTACTTATTTAAGGCAGTATAGCACAGCAGTTTAAGAGTCAAGATTCTCTACTCAGTGTATTTTAAATTTTCAGCTTGAACAGTAGTTACGTGAACTTAAGTTCTTTTTCCTTAATGGCTTCATTGAGATATTTCACATACCATAGAATTTTCTCATTTAAAATGTACAATCCAATATTTTTAGTCTGTTCATAGAGCTGCCTAACCATCACCACAATCAATTTTAGAACATTTCACCATCTAATAAAGAAATTCCGTGACCATTAGTAGTTATTATTTACTTCTCTCTTTCCCCTCCCAATTTCTTCTTCTCCCTACCCCTCCAGCCACAGGCAATCATTTGCATAGTTTCATTTCTGTAAGCTTAGCTGTTCTAAATATATTTTTTAAATTTGACTCGTCTTATCTGTGATTATAATTCCTTTGACCAACATTTCCTCATTCACCCTCTCCCCTAACTAACCAAGCCTTTGGTAATCACCATTCTACTCTCCTGTGATATCAGCTTTTTTATGTTCCACATATGAGTGAGATCATGTGGTAGTTGTCTTTCTGTGCCTGGCTTACTTCATTTAACATGATGCCCTCTAGGTTCATCTGTTTCAATGACAGGATTTTGTTCTTTTTTATGGCTGAATAGTATTCCATTATGTACATATAGCACATTTTCTTTATCCATTCATCTGTTGATGAACACTTAGGTTGATTCCATTTCTCTTGAGATTTCTCATTGTAGTAAAAACAGTAGGATTTATTGACTATGTATCTCCCCATAGAAAATATTAAGGAATTTAATGCCTTAAGAAATCTAGTTAAAGGCCAGGCGTGGTGGCTTATGCCTGTAATCCCACCACTTTGGGAGGCCGAAGCGGGCAGATCACCTGAGGTTGGGAGTTCAAGACCAGCCTGACCAACATGGAGAAACCTCATCTCTACTAAAAATACAAAATAAGCTGGGCGTGGTGGTGCATGCCTATAATCCCAACTACGTGGGAAGCTGAGGCAGGAGAATCACTTGAACTTGGGAGGCGGAGGTTGCGGTGAGCTGAGGTCACGCCATTTCACTCCAGCCTGTCCAAAAAAGAAATCTAGTTTAAAACGTGTGTGAGGCCGGTCACGGTGGCTCACACCTGTAATCCCAGCACTTTGGGAGGCTGAGGTGGGCGGATCACAAGGTCGGGAGATCGAGACCATCCTGGCTAACATGGCAAAACCCTGTCTCTACTGAAAATACAAAAAATTAGCCGGGCATGGTGGTGGGCGCTGTAGTCCCAGCTACTTGGGAGGCAGAGGCAGGAGAATGGCGTGAACCCAGGAGGCAGAGCTTGCAGTGAGCCAAGATTGCGCCACTGGCACTCCACCTTGGGTATGAGAGGGAGACTCCATCTCAAAAAAAAAAAAAAAATCGTGTGTGGGGTAACTTATGCCTGGCAATTTTAGGTGGAAATAGTTATTTTTGCTTGCTTATTTTTAAAAACAAACTAAATAGTTATTTTTAACTTGGAAAAAACTTATTTGTTCCAGGTTTAGTATATGATGAGGTCTTACTTTAGTTTTTCTTCCCAGGTATTTGAGAATTTCCTCATTTTGGTTTTTTTTTTTTTTCCCAATCATATTTTCCTAGGGTACAGTGAAATAATTAAGAGAAAAGATATTTTTATATTTTCATTTAAGGAATATAAACAAACATATATATTATAGTAATCTTGTACATTAATTAGCCTGTAGAGTTTAGTAGCAGGAATAGTAACTCATTGAACAGTTTCTGAGATCAAATACCACAAATCAGTAATTTTTTGTCCTGTGGTTTTTCACAAGACAGACTAATAGCCACAAAAAAAGGGAACCTGAAGTATTTGCTAGATGCAGAAAAATGTAGGTCACAAATGAGTAATAACTCATACTGTGTGAAAAGCATTGAAAGGCATGACTAATATTTCAAAAGCTTTTGTCATCTCAGTAAGACACAGTTAGTGTGTGAAACAGTCCTGCAGAGAGTGCCTTGGCCTTTAAAGAAAAAAAAAAAAAGATTCTCTGAGAGGCGGATCGCAGTGAGCTGAGATTGCACCACTGCACACCAGCCAGGGCGACAGAGTGAGATTCCATCTCAAAAAAAAAGAGGGGGTTCTTATTCACAAATAGCATGTATGCTATAAAATTCAATTGCCAATAGTTTTGATTTATATATATATTTGTATTACAGATTAAACTTCAGATTAAATTTATTCTGTTTTTAAATTTGGAATGCTTCAAAGAAGAACAAAGGTGATACATGACAGAGCTCAGGCAATTTCCATAAAAACAAAACCCAAATCCTAAGTAAGAGATTTTTTTTCTGATAACTCTCTGGGATAGTTGAACTGTGCCAGATTCCAGAGGAACACTTGCCTTTGTGTTTTAATCTAGGAATAAAGATTGACAGCCCTTGAATGCAAAACATTGGGTCCAGGAGAAAGACAGGGAAGAATGTTGATATTTTTCAAGAATCCAACCGTTGAGTAATATACAAAAAATGGAGAAACAAGAACAACTCAAAATAAGTTGGCTACCTTAAGACTGATTTTCATTTTCTTCTATGAAATCAAAAGGGTTAAATTAATTTCTAACTTAAAACTGGAAAACAACTTTTGAAGCTCATAAATTTACTATGCATTGAATATATGCTGAAGACCATTTTGCAGTTATTGAGATTTAGTTGAAATATGCTATTTAAATGAGTAAGTTGTTTTATGTTTGCAAAGCTTAAAAACAATATGTTAAATAAGTAAACTGTTTTATAATTGCAAAGCTTAAAAACATTATGTTCCATTTTGAGACATTTCTTAAGTAACACAAAGGAGAAAGATACTCAATTTTCAAGTAGTAATTAAGCACTTTTTATATGGCCATTACTAGAAAAGTAACTAATATGAGTCAAATGCTTATGTTACTCTCTTTTTTTTTTTTTAACATAGATGGAATTAGACATGGCATTAAGTGACTTGGAGGCTGCAGATTTTGCAGAACTGGTAAGAGAAGGAGCGAGTTTTACAAAAGGCTCAATGTTGAATTCTTGTTTTGTATACCAGTCATTATTCTAAATATTTACCAAGTGGATATATAATAATACACATTAGTCCTCTGTTTTGACTGTGAAAAAATCCATTTTCTTGCCTTGGGATTTTCTACTCAGTTGAAATAGTTGTTACATAATGTATATTATGGGATTAAAAATGATTAATTACACTGGTGTCACTAAGAACTAAGTTTTTGAGGAAAACAAATATAAATGTAATACTGATTAAGTTAAATAAGAACCCTGTAGAGCTGTACTTAAATTGGAAGTCTCAATATGGTTTTTAGTATTTTAATTATTGTATTTCCTAGCTATGTCCAATGAAAAGGCCTAGCAATAGTGACCATCACAGTAACAATAAGTACCACTAATACCCAGGCCATGGTGTATAAATAACATTTCTCACCAAAAGGAACCAGGACTCCTCAAGAATTGGCTTATTCAAACTTGGGGCTGAAAATGTGCAAGATAAGTCTGAGAACATCTTGTCATATCAGAAATTCAGAAGGCTTTCCAAAAATTAATAGGGTTATAGTAGAGCTCAAATTGTCATGAGACAACTTGAAGAGGCTCCCTGTTGAACATCTATAAGGAAATACCTACAACAGATTGAAACACATCAGATATGTATAAGTTCGTAAGTGCATAAAGATACTAAAAAAAAAGAAAAGAAAAGAAACTTGCTAGTCAACTTTGGAGAATATGAGGGCATCAACTTGTTTTTGTGAAAACTGTTAAATGAAGAAAAATCAGACATTTATCCTGCCTTTCCTGTCTAAACCATATGTCAAGGTTACCAAACAGAGGTGAAGGAGAGCTTCTTTTTATGAAAGTAGTCTAACTGAAATGTCAAGAAAGACACAGAATTGGAATATCACCATTTTGCAGTCCCTCAATGAATTAATGGATCTAGGCAATGGTCATCAATAGCTATTAATATCACAAACAGAAAAGCAACAGATAATACGTTGTTCCTGATGGAAGCACACAGACCACCTATAAAATATGCTTGATGAGGCCTCAAGATCTAACTACTAATTTATAGGAAATACCATTGAAAAGGGAGCATGTTAAATGACCCCATTTGGGGAAGGGGGGGTACAGTCAGCAAAATCCAAACTGGCAAATACTGCAGGACAGTTTCTTCTCCAAATAAGTTAGAAAAGGGTGGTCTGAAGTTGGGGAGAAGGGAGAGAAGTTGAGAGAGAACTCAGTTACAAGAGACTGAATATTATCAACCAAGTGTATATATGTCCTTTCTTAGATCCTAATTCAAACAAAGTTTTAAAAACATCTATGAGACAATGAATCTCATAGATGAGGCTGAATCTATTCATGAGTCATACATTCAAGGAAATGTAAGCACAAATGACTGGGTATTAGATGAAAATAATTCTTTATATTGTGATAATGGTATTATGATTATATGTATTTTTAAATTCCTTCTGTTTTATACATACGTTCTGAAGTGTTTACAGATGAAATGATATAATATCTGGTATTGGTTTTGAAATAATTCAGCAGGAGGAAGGGAAGATGATGATACAGGTGAAACAAGATGAGCCATGGACTGGTCATAGTTAAACCTGGGTGGTGATGGCTATACAGGAACTAATTATACAATTCCCTTTTTGTATACGCTAAAATTCTCAGTAATAAAAGTTCTTTTACAAAGTAAATGGGAAGTAAGGGAAGTAAAAGCCATAAGGTGTGGATTATTCTCAGGAAGATTGCCAGTGAAATTGGGAGGAGAATGTTAACTTGAAGGGGTAACTGAGTCTTAACAAACACCCTAAACAAATGGAAGGGTGTTTTGTCTGTAAAAATAATAGAAATTTAGGCATGGTAAACTCTTATGGCTCATAATTTTTTGAGTAATGGAAAATGTTTAGATGGATATTAACCATTAGGAGCAGTTCAGAACTAAAGTATTAAAATATCTGATTTTTGGAACTTACATCTAGTGTTTAGTTTAAAAATCTAATTCCTGCCTTTATAGAACACTATTTTAATGAGCAGTGGAATTAACAATATTTTCTATGGTTAAAAATAATCTATTGAGATTCCTAGATACAGTAAAAAAAAAAAAAAAAAAAAAGAAGAAGAAGAAGAAAAAGAAAACCACAATTCATAAAAGAAAAAATGGATAAATTGAGAATGTAAAATGGTACAACTACTTTGGAAGACAGTTTGGCAATTTCTTAATAACCTAAACATATACCTACCATATAATTCAACCAGTCTGTTCCTATCTTTTTAAACCAAGAGAACTGAAAGCATATGTAATACAAAGACCTGTATACAAAATAACTTTACTTGTAATAGCCAAAAAGTGGAAACAACTCAAATAACTTAACTGTCCATCAGCAGGTGTGAATACCAGAACAAATTCTGGTATATCCAGGAATGGACTACTACTCAGAAAAAAAGTTGTTTTAGGGAGGTGCTGAGGGAACTGTTCTACATTTCGATTTTGGTGGTGCTTACATAGCTATATGCATTTGTCAAAACTCACAGAACACTTCACATTGAATTTTGCCTTAATTAAAAAAATATGAAAATAAGGATCTATTCTGTACTTTTTGGTGAAATTAAAGATTTAATCCTAATGCTGTTTCCCTTAGTTTTTAAAAATTATTATTAAGGTATAATTTACATTCAGTAAATTCTTCTTTCCCCTTTATAGTCAACCCCTCTCTATACCCCCAACCTCTGGCAATCACTGATCTGTGTTCTGTCCCCAAGATTTTGCCTTTTTCAGGATGTCATATAAAGTGAATCATCCTGCTCAACCTGGCCATAATGCTGCTCTGGTTGCTCAGCACACCCCCCTTCTCGTACCTGGGCATCCCTGCCCTGTTCAGCCCCATAGCTCCCAGCTATTTGGTTCCTGCTCCATGGTTGGGCCTCTGACAGCCCCTTTGAATAAACCAGACACTCCACATGTGTCTTGAGAATTTAAATAAATAAATAATCATACAGTAGGTAATTTTTGTGTCTGGCTTTAACTTAGCATAATGGATTTAAGATTCATTCCTGCTACTGTGCAGGCAGTTCAGTCCTTAATATTGCTGAATAGTAGTATTCCATCATATACATGTATCACAATTTGTTTATCCATTCCCTGACTGAGGAATGGCTGTGTTATTTCCAGTTTTTAGTTTTCTTTAGGTTTCGTTGGGTTTTTTAAAAAGAAAAAAAGCTTATAAAAGTAATAGCTGTATACAGGGTAAAGCTCTAAGCATGGTTATTAAAAGCAAATACCTTCGCTTATCCCTTTCTCTCACTTCCATCCCCAGGTGTAACTGCTCTTATGGATTGCAATGTATCCTTCCAGACCTTTTTCCATATACATACATTCCCACACACAAACCAATACACATGTATATAGTTGGTGGGGATGCTATTTTTAACAAAAATCAGATGATAGTGTATATTTTGTTCTGCAGCTTGCATTCTTTGCTGAGCAGTGTATCCTGAAACTTTTTATGCCTGCTCATATAGATCAATCGTATTTTTTTAACATATGTGTGATATTCTGTGGTATATCTAGTTTTGCTGGCCATTCCTCCATTGTTGAATATCATGTTATCTCTGATTTTTCCATATTACAAATAATCCAACTGTTAACTTTTTATATAAAAATCATGATTCCACTGCTTGAGTGTTCCTGTAGATGTCTAGAAGTAGAATTATTCAAAGGGTATGTATACTTAATTTTTTTTACATACCACTCAGTAGCTTGCAAATAGGTTGCATCAATTAGTGCTTTCAAAAATAGCATATGGTAATATTGGATACTGTAGATGATGTAGAGTAAAAGTTTTTTGTCCTAAAAAGATATGTGGTAAGAAATCCCTCATAAAGTAACAGATTTTATGTTCTAAATGTCTCTAATCAAGCATCTTAAAAGAATAAAAAATAAGGTTGTTCTCAGTGAAATAAACATATACATATTATATTTCATCCTAATACTCTGGTATATTGATTTCTAAAGATGACACTATGAAAAGTTTAGTTACTAAAGAATATAATTTTCATTTTAACTATTATAGCTTATTTGGGATTTTTATCACAAAAAAATAAAAATATAAAATCCACTATGAATTTTTCCCCCAGTCTGAGGATTACTATGACATGAGGCGGCTGTATACAATTTTGGGGTCTTCTCTATTTTACAAGGTAAGTTAAAGCTGGAAGTCTAAATGTCCAGTGTTGTACAAACAGACCTAAATTGTCAAAAATTTTACAAACATGAAAAATACATTCATCTCTTTTCTTTTAAATGTAGGTACCATAAGATTAAGATCTTTCTCACTTTAGAGACAGGGTCTCGCTCTGCCACCTAGGCTAGAGCGCAGGGTACAATCATAGCTCACTGCAACATCCAATTTCTGGGCTTAAGCAATTCCCAGGCTCAAGCAATCCTCCTGCCTTGGCCTCCCAAAGTGCTGGGATTACAGGCGTGAGCTACCATGTCTGACCAGATTAAGACCTTAAAACAAGATTTGCATCTACATATTTGTAAATATAATAAATATTTATGGTTTCATTGCATTCTAAAGCATTTATAAAGTATTTACAAATGTGCACAGGAGAAACAATACTCAAAGGACCAAGTTTGTAAGAGAGAACAATATTTTTCTGAATTTCCTTTTGAAAGAGTGTATTTTTTATCCTGTGTTGAAAAGTTGGCTGGGCACGGTGGCTGACACCTGTAATTCCATCACTTTGGGGGACCGAGGCAGGTGGATCACCAGAGGTCAGAAGTTCGAGATCAGCATGTCTAACATGATGAAACCTCATCTCTACTAAAAATCCAAAAAAAAATTACCTGGGCATGGTGGTGCGTGCCTATAATCCCAGCTACTCAGGAGGCTGAGGCAGGAGAATGGCATGAACCCGGGAAGCAGAAGCTGCAGTGAGCTGAGTTCACGTCACTGCACTCCAGCCTGGGTGACAGGGTGAGACTCTGTCTCAAAAAAAAAGAAAAGTAACCTACATCTTTTAAATAAATCTTATATAACATTTAGTTCATGTTCATGTAAAGCAAATAAAGCATTAAATGAATTTAAGTACTTTTATTTTTAAAAAAGGATTTTTAAACACAATGTAAAACACATCTAACAAAGAAGCAATAGGGAAGGGTGCACAGTGAAAAGTCTCTGTCATAACCCCTGCTTCTTGACTTTCCATTATCAGAATTCAGTTCTTTTCTAATTTTGCCAAATACTGAAGCTATACTGTGCAGAGGTGATCTTGCTTTGTGCTTAAGTCTGCCTGTTGGTAGACCTTAAGTTATCATTTGAGCTCTACTTTGACCTCAAGAAAAGAAAAAAAAAAGAAAAAGAAAACATCTACTGTATCTTCATTTACACCATTTGAAACTAGAATATTCTAAACCAAGTGAAGAAGTGTTTGTAAAACTCTTAGAAATATATTATGGGACTATTGCTTTATATCACTGGTAGACTTTTGCTCTTTGTGGTTAAATTCAAGGGTTATTTGATATGCAATCATTTACCCAAGGATGATCTTATTGATATTGCCGTATACTGTCGCCACTATTGCCTGCTGCCTTTAGCAGCAAAACAAAGAATTGGTCAGTTGATAATATGGAGAGAAGTGTTTCCTCAGTATCACCTCCGACCTTTGGCAGACTCAAGCACTGAAGTCTTCCCGGAACCTGAAGGAAGATATTTTTTGCTAGTTGTTGGCTTGGTAAGTTTACCTCAGCTTCTTTCTTGGGATTTTTCTCCTTTTCTTTTCTTTTTTTCTTTTCAGCTGGGATTGAGGGATGCAGCAGTAAGTAGGTATCTATTGACTGTCTAAATAAATACACAAACAAACTTGCTCATGTAAAATTATTAGTTTGTCTAATACCAGTATTCAAGGAAATGTTACATGCCTTTTTTGCATCCATTTAATACTCATGGATAAATAATAAAATCTAAGAAAAGATTTTAGCAGGTTTCTAAAGTCTTTTGTTCCCCTTTCTATAGTGGTTTTTTCCATTGGCTTGTTTTGGAGATGGAGGGAGGCATGAAAAGAATATAGAATCAGAAACAGAATAAATGTGCAATTGCAGATGAAAGGACTTACAGTAACTGAGGCTCTTGACAGCTATCTTAGGGAATTCTGTGTCTCAAAAGAAATGGTTTGATGGTATATCAAGATAAGGCAGTATAAGATTGTTTTCAGCTGGGATCAGGAAGCACTGATAATAACCAAAAAGGAAAGATGAGGGAGGAATTTTTAATAATCATCACATGATTATGCCATATGCCTCTATATCTTCAATATTTATAAATTTATACATGCACATTTTATGTAAATATTTTCACGGTAGCTAAACCTACATTTGTATTTTTTTTCCCTATAGAAACATTATATGCTATGTGTACTATTAGAAGCTGGAGGTTGCGCATCCAAAGCTATTGGGAGTCCTGGACCAGACTGTATATATGTGGATCAGGTCAAAACAACTCTTCACCAGCTGAATGGAGTAGATTCTCGCATAGATGAACGGCTAGCATCTTCTCCAACCCCCTGTTTGTCTTGTGCTGATTGGTTCCTTACTGGATCACGTGAAAAAACAGATAGCTTGACCACTTCCCCTATTCTCAGTAGACTACAAGGTACTTCCAAAGTAGCAACTTCTCCAACATGCAGAAGAACCCTTTTTGGTGACTATTCCTTAAAGACACGTAAGCCCAGTCCTTCCCGTAGCAGTGGAGGATCTGACAATGGTTGTGAAGGTGGAGAAGATGATGGCTTTAGCCCCCATACTACACCGGATGCAGTATGGAAGCAAAGAGAATCTCAGGGCTCTGATGGTTTAGAAGAAAGGGGGACCTTGCTTAAGGTGTGTACTCATTCAAGTGTGTACATTCTGGGAGCTAAGTTGTCTCTCCAGTCCTTGTTTTATAATTGCAAGACAGTTTTTTTAGTGGCATACCATTCTTCATTTGATATGGTGGTTATTTCAGTCACTGCTGGGAAACCAATGATTTTGAACCAAAAAGAAAAAGAAATATCAGGCCAGGCATGGCAGATTGCTAGAGGCCAGGAGTTCGAGAGCAGCCTGGCCAATGTGGCAAAACCCAGCCTCTAATAAAATTACAAAACAATTGCCAGGCATGGTGGTGCACACCTGTGATCCCAGATACATCGGGAGGCTGAGGCAGAAGAATTGCCTAAACCCAGGAGGCAGAGGTTGCAATGAGCTGAGCTTGTGCCACTGCATGATTTGTCACTCCAGCCTGGGTGACAGAGTGAGACTCTGTCTCAAAAAAAAAAGAGAGAGAGAGAGAAATATCAAGTAATAAGACAAGAGTTCCTTGACATCCATATCTGTTTAACAGTACTTAGAAACAGGAAAGCTTTAATTTCAATTTCCATGTTCATCTCTTTCCTATTTGCAATGACAACAGAGAGCATCCAAGCTGTGGGGCCTGTTGGGGGCTGACCTGACTAAATAGCCAATGAAATGTTCAGCAAAGAGAATCAGAACCCTAAATGTGTGTATGTGTGTGTGTATCTGTCTGTGTATGTGTGTATTATCCTATTTTTATAGATTTTAAAATCTGAGCCTTTGTAATACTTAAAGATTTTAAAGTTGACTCTAAAGAGGATGTTCATTTTTCAGATCATTTTTCCTGATTCTTTCCCATGAAAATACCATAAAATATCCAAATGATTATCAAAACATTCATCCTGGGAGGCTTTTTACTTATTCTAGTGATGCTGTCATCTTTCAAAACACTTTTGAAACTTGTCATTTGGGTGGATGGAGGTGATACCAGATGAGAAGTCTGAGAAGGAGCACAAATAAAATATGAGATGCTAGTAGCATGGCATAAATAACCAGATGCAATCTCCTCATACCAAACAATAGAATACTTTTGGACCCCTAAGTGGGGTGTATTTGGAAGTACTCACATCAGTACCATACCTGTTATCCCAGTTGATGAAATTGCCAGGAAATACTCTAAAAGGATTTGGACAGACTAAAGAATTACCAAGCCATGAATAGCTCCTAAGAGAAATTGAGTTAACCTTTAAGATTCAGCCATTCAACAAATGTTGATTGAATACCTACTAAGTGCCAAGGGCCATACTACACAAAGGAGATACAGAGATGAGTAAGACACAGCCCCTGACTTTGAGGAGTGCAGAGTCTAGGGAGGGAGACAAGTATGCGTACATACAAACTTGGTAATGGCTCTGGTAGGAGGTTTTCAGGGAACACCATCATGCCCTCCCAGGACATGACCCTGGGATCCCTGTCAGCCATGGATAAGCTAAGAGGTACAAGTTAGCATCAAAAATATTTAAAAGAAGCATTACAAGTGGTAAGTAGTTCTCTTAGAAGGATGTTTGATTTTTAAATTGTTTCTGCTATATGATTCCAATCTTAGATATAAACCAATCTACTTAACTGTATTTTTCAGGTCACTAAAAAGAAGTCTACTCTTCCAAATCCATTTCATTTGGGAAACTTGAAAAAGGACCTTCCAGAAAAAGAATTAGAAATATATAATACAGTGAAGTAAGAAACTTTCTTATTCTTGTTCACTTAAACTCTTTCAGGAAGTTTTACAGTGAGAAAGTACAATTCTATAACATGTATTTTACTCAACAAATGTAATTCTGATATATCTTACATATTAAAGGTAAGATCTGTGGTATTTCTTTAATATTTCATTACACATTTAGGAAAATTACCATATTAGTATTATAAGACAGAAAAACGCACAAAGTAATATTTCCTTTTTTTTTTTTTTTTTTTTTGAGACGAAGTCTTGCTCTGTCGCCCAGGCTAGAGTGCAGTGGCGCGATCCCGGCTCACTGCAAGCTCCACCTCCTGGGTTTCCGCCATTTCTCCTGCTTCAGTCTCCCAAGTAGCTGGGACTATAGGTGCCCGCCACCACGCCTGGCTAATTTTTTGTATCTTTAGTAGAGACAGGGTTGCACCGTGTTAGCCAGGATGGTCTTGATCTCCTGACCTTGTGATCTGCCCGCCTCGGCCTCCCAAAGTGCTGGGACTGCAGGCATGAGCCACCACGCCCGGCCACAAAGTAATATTTCAAAATGTGGAAGACCCCCTTTATCTCTCCACAGGTAACCTCCCTTTTGTATATATAATATAATTTTTAAATTAGAGTTTACTATTTTTTGCAGTGTTTGGTGGATGCAGTGGTGTGCTGTCCAATTACACCTTAGCTCAGGGTATTCCTTCCCAACACTTGAGAATGGTGGCTGCTAATGCCTCACAGATCCCCTAGCCTTGTCACTCCCCTGGCTGTGTCCTACATGGAAACTTGTTGACTCAGCTAAGGTTACACTCCTCCCTGGGAGGAGCCCACTTCTAATGACTAATAAATAAGTGAGTACAAAGGCTTGGCCCCTTGCCTAAATTGAAGACAACTCTGAAAGGCCAACCAAGCTTCACAGTACCCAGTAGTATCGGCTGAGACTTATTGCCACTGCAGGACAGTTCATCTTCTCCCTCTGCTCAGTTCTGCTGAGTCACTCTACCCCATAGCTGTTTTTCCCAAGAGTACTTCCTAATAAGTTTCCTCCCGGTATATCTCACTCTCAGAGTTTGGGAACCAGGGAACTGGTCCCTTAACACTCTCTTTAGAAAGTAGGTATAATTTCAAACTTGCATCGAGTAGGGAATTCTGAGGTAAAAGAAACTGAGTGAGGAGAGAATGTTTAGCAACTTAAACTGTCTGTAATTATTATAATATGAAAAGTTATATATTCACTTCTTATGCACTTATGTGGTGACACACAGGTCCGCCTGCGCCTTGGCAGGTATTTATGACATCATGTGTGGGATCAACTGGTGTAATAAATTCAATTGCATACTTTTATTTGAACAACTAGACACATACTAATAGAATTCACACACACACACACACACACACAGAGTACAGAGCTACCACATTCTTAACTACTGAAACACTTTGCAATAAGTTCAAATGTATGTGTGACAAAGTTGTTAGGAAATTCTTTTTTTCTTAAGTCAAGACAAAAAGTAACTTGTCTGCATAAAATAATATATCAGAAATCTGATGCGTTAAAATTTAGTATTTAATGCCTCCAAATATAAATGTTTAATTTTTTGATAGTTAAACATGATCTTAAGACAAATAAATTGGAACCAAACCTTTTATGGAACCCAAAAGTACCCTCACAAAACTCTAGTCTTCCATTTAACAAAAACTATTGCTCGGAAATTTTATTAACTCCATATCAGAATTTTAAAAATATGTATGTTATATTGACATTGTCTCTAGTAAAAGGAGACTCTTTTTCTCAAGTTCAATGTTTTAAACATAAATTCACATGTGGTGTAAATAATAGGCTCTCCTATTTTAAAAGGTGCCAAAGATGTGTGTTTATTCTCATTATTGACATGCAAAGGTGTTTTTATACGATGCAGTTCATTTTAAAAGCATGATATAAAACAGGATGTAATATATTATTCTAACCTATATGCACCTATCTTTGTAAAATAAAATATATATAATATATTGAAAATAATATATACAAAACATCTCATTCAGTAACTAAGTCCTACCCATTCTGCATTCCAGTAGTTCTTGAATCTGTTCACCCCTCTATTGACACTGCCCTAGTTTAGGCTCCCATTTTCTTTCACCTGGTTTTATTGCAACAGCTTCCCAACTCCTGGCCTACCCTAAACCCATTCTCTACTGCAGGAGTGACCTTTCTGAAGACTAAATCTGATTTTATCTGCTTTTTTGTACAAATCTTTTGTCTTCCTACTGGGTAATTGCTTATTTGGTGATTTTTAAAACTTTTAGTTAATATATACTGAGTGAGTTTATGGTTTCAAGAGCTAAACCTGCTTATTGTATTGTGGTTTATTTTTTAGAGAACAATGTAAAAGATAACAAAAATGTTAATTCTGACCCCCCCAAAAGAAACTTATTTTGTAAAGAATAATGTTGTAAGTTATTTTGTAAAGAATAATTTTTGTTCTGTACTTTTTTTAACCTGAAGATCTCCAGATTAAAATGTATGTTTTAAATTATTTTCCTTTTAAAATAATCATAATTCCTTTCATCTTATTTAAGTTTTTATTTCTGGAAAGGTGGTCAGCCACCAGTCGTTAATGAGCCAGCTACCCTGTGGAAAAGTGAAAGAAGAATTTGTAAATTATTTCCTTCCCTCCCTATCCCTGGTCTCAAAAGAGTTCCAAGGCCATAAATCAATGATAAGAAGTTTATTTGGATCATGCTGCCTGATTAACTGTTTAACAATAATTTAATCTGCATGGATGAGCTAGGCAGTATCTAGGCTAAGAGCTGAAATATGCCTTTTTCTTGTCTCTATGCTATGGCTGGAAAAAAAAAATCAACTGATGATATTTTTTATTATAGACAACCTTTTACCATAGAAGGATTAAAATGGGGCAGCTTGAGTATTTGAGATGCAAGAGGGGAATTGCTGTAATCAGAAGTCAGCCCTGGAGAGGAAAAAGCACGGTTTTACAGAACAAGCTTCAGAGTCAGCTAAAATCTGCCATTTGGCTATGCGACCTCTCAAGCACGTTAATCCAAGTCCTCTGACCATTGATTTTCTCATGGCTAAAATGAGGATAGTAATGGATGTTATCTTGCAATATCATTATGAGAATTAAGACTAAGATATTTTAAAACACCTACCCTGGTATATAGAGGGCATTCACTATACGTTAACTATTATTATTATTTTGTTGTTGTTATTACTATTGTTCTTTTGCTTATCTTACTACTGGTAGAAATTAACAGTATTTATAGGTTCTGCTGGCCTGTTTGAGACTAAGCCAGGGAGGAAAGATGGGGAAGAAAGTAAAAAATGAGTAAGAGAACATAGGAAAGAAAGAAGATAGTAATAATGAGAAGTGGTAGAATGAACTACCACGAATTATCATGGTATTATAGAATATTAATCAAATTTTTCAGGTTGTAATAATAATTTGATTTTTCTTCAGGAACATCAGTTTGACTATCATGGTAAAATACTTTAATGCTACTAACTTAAATGTATTTAGTTTGTTGGAAGGTATTTTTATATGTGGTCTACCCTAGAGTGATATCTTGTTTATGGCTTATAGCTATCTGGTTCAGTCACGACCTGAATTATTTAATACCAACCACGGAAAAAGAGGCAGTTAGCCAATTTGGGTTGTTTAGCAAAGGAGTGATTAAGTTACTTGCAAATGAATTGATATTTACTTATCCTTGCATAACATGTAGTATTTGCCTCCATTAAGGGAATGAATAACCCTAGCTTGTGCTTCAGTTAAGGATGAAGAGGGAATTAAATGTTTAGCCCAGTTTCCCATCCCTAATTATACTACTAATATTATATTGTAGATAAAAGCTTGTAAGAAGTCTACTAAATTCAAAATGAACCAATATTTTAAAATTTACTAAAATTTCTCTTTTCTTCTCATTTTTTCTTTTTAAGACTGACATCTGGTCCTGAGAACACACTTTTCCATTATGTTGCCTTAGAAACAGTGCAAGGAATCTTTATTACTCCTACCCTTGAAGAGGTGGCGCAGCTAAGTGGCTCTATCCACCCTCAGCTAATAAAGAATTTCCATCAGTGTTGTCTTTCCATTCGTGCAGTTTTCCAACAGACACTGGTTGAAGAGGTAGGGCACTGCTATAAATACAGTTTTCCGCCAGTTTAATTTCCAGATCTCTAAGCATTCTGTTCTCTAATCAATATGCCCAGCATTGTTTTCGTTAAATTAAGTTTTTTTAAATAGTCACTCAATCTAACTTGGGTGCCAAAACATTTATACTCACAGTACTTCAAGGTTTTATTTCATACTGAATTTGATGTCTTGGGTTACTATTTCAGGAAATGGTAGACCTGTGTTTTCTACAGCAAAGCACAATACAGTCATTTGTAATGTAAATTAACCTTCCACATTTCATATCTGTGACTCAACCATTACTGGGGTAATAATATCTACTAATTGGTTCCTAAAATAACTTTGATAATTCTTTAAGTATTTAGCCAACAGTATAAGGTATTTTGGAATATAATGGGTTAAGGCAGGGGTCCCCAACCCCCAGGCCACATACCAGTAGCTGTCTGTGGCCTATTAGGAACCAGGCTGCACAGCAGGAGGTGAGTGGCGGGCCAGGGAGTCTTACCGCCTGAGCTCTGCCTCCTGTCAGATCAGCAGCGCGTAGGAGTGCAAACCCTATTATTGTGAACTGTGCATGTGAGGGATCTAGACTGTACACTTATGAGAATCTAATGTCTGATGATCCGAGGTAGAACAGTTTCATCTTGAAACGATCCCTCCCCCAGAAATTGGTCTCCAATGCCAAAAAGATTGGGGACCGCTGGGTTAAGATATAGCTATAGACACAAGACTAATGCAAAGTTTTTGGCATTTGGTTCGTTGATTGCTTGCTTGCTTTTCTATCCAGGATGAAGTTTCATTGAATGTTGTCATCTGTTGAATAAATAATAATGCTGTATACAATTACAATATCAGATCGTTTAAATGGCTGGAAAAGATAGGTGTTGATTTCTTGAAAAGGATAAAACATATAGAGGTTTACTTGTGACATTATACAGCCAAAAAACCTCTCTGAAAATGATTGTAATGTATATAGCAATACATGTGTTAAGGATGCCAAATTTGTGAAGAACTTGGGTTTAAAAGTGGAAGAACATTGGACAAGGAATAAGGAATCCTGGACTGAACCTCACCTCCTCCTGTTTCCTTAGCTATGAAGCTAGTGGGATAGATTTTATCTTCTCTCCAGGCTCATTCAGCAGTAAAATTCTATGTCTTATAGGATTTTTTCTTTGAGTCCTCAGAAATTGTTATTCTGTAGAAATACTGTGTTTGACCATATATTCCTATATGCTTTGGGTTCTTATGCTCCTATTTTCCTTTTTAACATAACTGATAAATGTTATAAAGGAATATTTCATTTACTTATTTGATAATATTTAGTAATATAAATTAGTTTTCCCTATCTTATTTAAACATTGAGGTACCTACTCTGCACCAGACACTATTCTAGGAGCTTGGGATACAACAGTGGACAAAACAAAGTTTCTTCCTTCATGAAGCCTATTTTCTAATGGAGGAAAGAAAATAATTAGAAAATAGTATGCTAAGAAGAACCAGTGTCAAGCAAAATAATAGAACATGGTAAGGATGAGAGGTGGGAGTGACTATTTTGAAAGGTCTCTGATCATGTCAAGTGATACTTGAACAGAGACCTGAATGAAGTGAGGGAGCAAGCCATGTGGCTCTCTCGGGGCAGAGCTTCCAGCAAGGGGAACAGCAAATGCAAAGCTGCAGAGCATTACTGCCTGAGCTCCGCCTCCTGTAAGGTCAGCTGTGGCATTAGATTCTTATAGGAGTGCAAACCCTACTGTGAACTGTCCATGCAAGGGATCTAGTTGCCCAGTTCTTATGCGATTCTAATGCCTGATGATCTGAGGTGGAACAGTTTCATCCCGAAATCATCCCCTAGGGGCTGGGAGAGTGCTGGAGCAGACTGAGAAGAGAGTGGAGGAAGAGATCACAAAGGTAGCAGGGCCAGCTTATGCATGGCCAGATAGACTATGATAAGGACTTTAGGCTTTGTTCTGAAAGAGATGATACATTCTTGAACAGTTCTGCCCAAAGAAGGGACATGATCCATAATATTTTTTAAAGAATCACTCAGGCTACTGTGGGTAGAACAGGAAACAGAATAGCAAGGGTGGAGGCAGGGACCAGTTAGGAGGCTTTCAAAATTCTGAAAGCAAGAAATGATTATAGCTTCTGGATTCTGGATATATTTTGGAGGGCAAACCAAAAGAATTTGTTGAAGGATTAGATAAAAGCTATGAAGAAAAGGATCAAGAATCACTCCACTGTTTGGCCTGAAACTTATAAGAAGTCTTTATAGTCCAAATGAGTCATTGTTTTGCTAATGCTTTTAATCAGTATGAAATTTAGAGATTATGGGTCAAAGGAAGACAAAATGCTGCTTTAAATATATAGTTTTTCAATTTATTACAGAATTATCTGCTCATTTAGAACATATTTATTAAGCACCTACTATGAACCAGGCACTGCTGCTTTTAAAACACACAAAGATTGTATATTGTCTGTGCCCTGGGGAAAAAAGTTTATAATTTTCTATCTTCCACTGTGGAAGACAGGTCTATAAACTGCTAATATAATATAATGCACATACTAATAACATAGGGCTGTGAACAAAGTGTTCCCTAGAAAAGTCAAGGGACACTTTATCCATGAAGCCTCCTTTAGGATATGGTATTTAAATATTGAGGAAGAGTAGAAATTTTCCTGCAGATAAGAATGTCATTGCAGGCACTTAAGTATTTGGATCAGCCAATTCAAATTAATCTGTGAAAACATTTTAAAGTAATACTAGTAATACCAGTTAATACTAACAATACTTATTAATTTACAGAAAAAGCAAGGACTAAATAGTGAAGACCGTTCAGATTCCGCAAAGTCGGTGTCTTCTCTTAACCCTGTTAAAGAACATGGTGTGTTGTTTGAATGTTCACCTGGAAACTGGACTGATCAGAAAAAAGCACCACCAGTTATGGCCTACTGGGTAGTAGGGTAAGTGGGAAAAAAAGTATTTGAAAGTAAAGTGTTAGAAAAGTGAAAGAAAACTGATAAAGGAGATTAACATTTTAAAATGTAGGCACGGAATTTTTAATCTAGCTATAATATTTTAATATATTTTATTTTATTTGCTAAGTATCTCCTTTAAATCCCTTCCAAGTATTTTTCTATTAAAAATTACCTTTCAAAATTAAATTTTAGTAATACACTGAAAGAATAATTCCACAGTTTTTCTCCTCTTCCCTTTTTCCCCTGCTTCGTTCATTTCTTCCTCCTCTCCCCTTTCTTTCCCTCTTTCCATCCTCTCCCTTTTCTTCCCTTCCCCTCTCTCTGCCCTGTGCCACAAGACCATGCCCAATCAGGACCCTGCCCACCTTTGTTTCCATCTCCTGTCTTCCCTCCTCTTCCATCTGCTGTGCACCAGCTGCATGAGTACCAATCAAATCTTGTTTCTGCTGTTCCTTCTGCGTGGGATATTCTATCCCTTGACCTTTGCACTTCTGGATCCTTGATATTCAGACCAGTGCTAACAGGTAGGTCATCTTGTCAGAGAGGATCCATGATCTCTTTCCCTCATCAAAGTGGCTACTCAGTTATTCTCTATATCACTCTTTTATTATTTTCTTGTCCTTCTCCACCTTCCACCCTCATTACAATGTCAGCTTCATGAGGTCAGGAATTGTATCTTTCTTGTCCACCACTGGCACCTGCAACAGTACCTGGCACATAATATAGTCACTTGATAAATATGTGATGGTTGAGTAGGTGAGACTGTGCCTGGCAAAATGTGGAACTGGTGGTGGGGTTGGTGGGCGGTGGGCAGTATGGCAAACACAGAGACATAGTCATTGCCTCTACGGGCCTTATATCTAGCAAAAGAATTATGAAATATGCTCAAATATCTATATATTTATATATCTATATTATATAGATATAGAGAGAAATCCTATATATGTGTGTGTTGTATATACATATATGTAAAATGAATTAGGTGATACAACCAAATGCTATAGGAATTCTGAGGAGGGGGCAAAATCTAATGAACAAAGACCCAAACAATGGAAATTATACAGCACAGCAGTGAGCAGACTGGTTTGCCAGGATGGTAGAGGAATGACATATACAAAGATTAAGTGAAAGATCAAGTTGGGAACCTAAGTTAGGACCACTGCAGAAGGTTCTTTGAGTTGGAGTAAAGGTTGGTGGAGGAAAGGGCACAGAATTAGTTGGGAGTAGGGGTAGTGGACATGTACCAGGTAGTATTAAGCTGTATGATAGACACTTTACAGACATTATCCAAAGCAGAAATTCCCATATGATGGTCCATGGGATTTAGAATCACCTGAGTCACTTGTTAAAATCCGAGATGCCTGGGCCCCAGATCTACTAAATCAAAATCTATGAGAGTGGCAATCTGTATTTTTAGTAAGCTCTCTTGTGATTATCATATGAACCAGGCTTGGGAACATCAGTGTAAGCTTAATTCCATGTAGTTGTACTACTGGAAGATTAAACTGGGAGCAGCCAATGGAATGATGTGCACATGAGAGAGACTAGAAATGAGAAGACCAGTTAGGCACACATGTAGCTGTTCAGTGGAGTGTTAACTACGTTCATGACTATAGGAATAGAAAGAATCAAAAGATATTGAATTATGATAATGCAGATTTATGCAGAACAGAAATTTAAGAAAATCAGGCAGAATTATCTCCAGTTTAAATAGATCAATTTATATAAATTAGTATTGATTAAATAGATTCAAATTTTGACTCTTTAAGAAAATCAAATAAAATTTCAATGTTAATTCCAATTCGGTTCTGTTTGCCAAAAAAAGCTACCATATATTTAATGTTTTAATAAAAATTAAACATTAGAAAGTAAAGAGCAATAAAATATTTAATAACTATTGTGCCTATGATGCTAGTGCTATTGCCTTTATTGTAATAACTAGATTTACTATTTAAAAATTTGGTGGTATCGTAATACATATTGATAAAATAGTATTATTACACTCCAGAGCAATAAAAACTAATTGTCCTAAGGCATATATTATTTATTTAGAAATAAATCTAGCTGCTTTCTCCCTAGTATAGATTTAGATTTGTGGATTTTAAATTTACTACTGATACTTTCAGAAACAAAAAATTAATTGGACAGTTAGAGTTTTTGTTGTTGTTGTTGTTGTTGTTTTAATTTCTGAAATGAGTGTGTTCTTTTCTTCTGCAGGAGACTTTTTCTTCATCCAAAACCTCAAGAACTTTATGTCTGTTTTCATGACTCAGTCACAGAAATTGCCATTGAAATAGCTTTTAAATTGTTCTTTGGGTTAACCTTGTAGCTATGCTTTCTTGATGTGTAGAAATACATGCATAGAGGATTAAACACTGTCAGAATTGCTGAAATCAATACAAAAAGAGATAAAATTTAGCTTCTTTTTACTTTTCAATATTGAACATAATATTGTTAAATATTGATATGAAATGCTGTTGGATTTGATATGTTAAATCTTAATTTAATATTGTAAGACTTTTGAGAATATACTTGATCAAAATGTGAAAGAAGGGATTAACTTATTGCTATTTTGATATATAATGTTTATTTATTGACTAGTTTGAAATAATGTGAAGTTTTTTATATAAGATTAATATAGGAAATGTTTACTCTTGAAAACTATCCAATTTGTTTATTTTTCTCAAAATTCATACTGATATCTGGTGAAACAATTATGATTGGGAGGAGGTGACCAGGTGCTGTAGCTAAGTAGTGCTATGACCATGAGCAAGTTTTTGTACCTCTCTAAGCTCAGAGTTTTCATGTAAAATGAGATGATTGCATTGAGGTTTCAAAAGTCCCTCTTAAGTAAAATGTGCTTTTATTTTATTTTAGTTTTAGTTTTAGTTCTGGGGTACATGTGCAGGATGTGCTGGTTTGTTACATAGGTAAACATGTGCCATGGCGGTTTGCTCCACCTATCAACCTGTCACCTAGGTATTAAGGCTAGCATGCATTAGCTATTTTCCCTAATACTCTCCCTACCCCCACAATAGGCCCCGGTGTGTATGGTTCCCCTCCCTTTGTCCATGTGTTCTCATGGTGAGCTCCTACTTACAAGTGAGAACCTACATTGTTTGGTTTTCTGTTCCTGCGTTAGTTTGCTGAGGATAATGGCTTCCAGCTTTATCCATGTCCCTGCAAAGGACATGATCTCATTCCCTTTTGTGGCTGCACAGTATTCCATGGTGTATATGTACCATATTTGCTTTATCCAGTCTATTGCTGATGGGCATTTGGGTTGATTCCATGTCTTTGCTACTGTAAATAGTGCTATAATAAACATACATGTACATGTATCTTTATAGTAGAATGATTTATATTCCTTTGGGTAATGGGATTGCTGGGTCAAATGGCATTTCTGGTTCTAGATCTTTGAAGAATCACGACACTGTCTTCCACAATGGTTGAACTAATTTACATTCCCAACAGTGTAAAAGCATTCCTATTTCCCCACAACCTTGCCAGCATCTGTTATTTCTTGACTTTTTAATAATGGCCACTCTGACTGGTGTGAGATGGTATCTCATTGTGGTTTCAAATTGCATTTCTCTAACAATCAGTGATATTGTGCTTTTTTTTCATATGTTTGTTGGCTGCATGAATGTCTTCTTTTGGGAAGTGTCTGTTCATGTCCTTTGCCCAGTTTTTAATGTGGTTTTTTTTTTTTTTTTCTTGTAAATTTGTTTGAGTTCCTTATAGATTCTGAATATCAGATCATTGTCGGATGGATAGATTGCCAAAATTTTCTCCCACTCTGTAGGTTGCCTGTTCACTCTGATGATAGTTTCTTTTGCTGTGCAGAAGGTCTTTAGTTTAACTAGATCCCATTTGTCAAGTTTTGCTTTTATTGCAATTGCTTTTGTGATTGCATCATGAAATCTTTGTCCATGCCTATGCCTTGAATGGTATTGCCTAGATTTTCTTCTAGGGATTTTATAGTTTTGGGCTTTACATTTAAGCCTTTATTCCATCTTGAGTTAATCTTTGTATAAGGTGTGAGGCATGGGTCCAGTTTCTATTTTCTGCATATGGATAGCCAGTTCTCCCAGTGCCATTTATTAAATAAGGAATCCTTTCCTCTTTGCTTGTTTTTCTCAGGTTTGTTGAAGATCACATGGTTGTAGATGTGCAATCTTATTTCTGAGTTCTGTATTCTGTTCCATTGGTCTATGTGTCAGTTTTTGTACCAGTATCATGCTGTTTTGGTTATTGTAGCCTTACAGTACAGTTTGAAGTCTGGTAGTGTGATGCTTCCAGCTTTGGTCTTTTGGCTTAGGATTGCCTTGGCTATTCAGGCTCTTTTTTTTGATTCCATATGAATTTTAAAATAGTTTTTTTCTAATTCTGTGAAGAATAACAATGGTAGTTTAATGGGAATAACATTGACTCTATGAATTACTTTGGGCAGTACGGCTATTTTCATGATATTGATTCTTCCTGTCTATGAGTGTGGAGAATTTTTCCATTTGTTTGTGTGCTCTCTGGTTTCCTTGAGCAGTGGTTTGTGTTCTCCTTGAAGAGGTCCTTCACTTCCCTTGTTAGCTGTATTCCCAGGTATTTCATTCTCTTTGAAGCAGTTTTAAGAGTTCATTCATGATTTGGATCTCTGCTTGCCTATTGGTGTATAGGAATGCTGGTGACTTCTGCACAATGATTTTGTATCTTGAGACTTTGCTGAAGTTGCTTATCAGCTTAAGAAGCTTTTGGGCTGAGACAATGGGGTTTTCAAGATATAGGATAATGTCCTCTGCAAACAAAGATATTTTGACTTCCTCTCTTCCTGTTTGAATACCCTTTATTTCATTCTGTTGCCTGATTGCCCTAGCCAGAACTTCCAATACTATGTTGAATAGTGGTGAAAGAGCGCATCCTTGTCTTGTGCTGGTTTTCAAGGGGAATCCTTCCAGCTTTCGCCCATTCAGTATGATATTGGCTGTGCGTCTGTCATAAGTGGCTCTTATTATTTTGAAATATGTTCCTTCAATAACTAGTTTATTGAGAGTTTTTAACATGAAGGGATGTTGAATTTTATTGAAGGCCTTTTCTGCATCTATTGAGATAATCATGTGGTTTTTGTCTTTAGTTCTGTTTGTGTGATGAATTACGTTTATTGATTTGCATATGTTGAACCAGCCTCACATCCCGGGAATGAAGCCAACTTGATCGTGGTGGATAAACTTTTTGATGGGTTGCTGGATTCAGTTTGCCAGTATTTTATTGAGAATTTTTGCATTGATGTTCATCAGGGATATTGGCCTGAAGTTTTCTTTTTTTGTTGTATCTCTGCCAGGTTTTGATATCAGGATGATGCTGGCCTCACAGAATGAGTTAGGGAGGAGTCCCTCTTTTTCAGTTATTTGTAATAGTTTCAGAAGAAGTGGTATCAGCTTCTCTTTGTATTTCTGGTAGAATTCAGCTGTAGATCCTTCTGATCCTGGGCTTTTTTTTGGTTTGTAGGCTATTAATTACTGCCTCAATTTCAGGACTTTTTATTGGTCTATTCAGCGATTCAGCTTTTCCTGGTTCAGTCTTGGGAAGGTGTATGTGTCCAGAAATTTATCCCTTTCTTCTAGATTTTTGAGTTTATTTGCACAGAGCTGTTATAGTATTCTCTGATGGTTGTTTATATTTCTGTGGGATCAGTGGTAATATCTCCTTTATCATTTTTTATTGTGTCTACTTGATTCTTCTCTCTTCTTTATTAGTCTGGCTAATGGTCTATTTTGTTAATCTTTTCAAAAAACAAAAAAAAAAGAAAAAACCCCATGCCCCCAGATTCATTTATTTTTTGAAGGGTTTTTCATGTCTCTAGCTCCTTCATTTCCACTCTGATCTTGGTTATTTCTTGTCTTCTGCTGGTTTTCAGGTTTGTTTGCTCTTGGTTCACTAGTTCTTTTAGTTGCGATACTAGGGTGTCGATTTGAGATCCTTCCAGCTTTTTGATGTGGGCATTTAGTGCTATAAATTTCCCTCTTAACAGTGCTTTAGCTGCACCCCAGAGATTCTGGTACATTATCTCTTTGTTTTCATTGGTTTCAAAGAACTTCTTGATTTCTCTCTTAATTTCATTATTTACCTAGGAGTCATTCAGGAGCAGGTGGTTCAATTTCCATGTAGTTGTGTGGTTTTGAGTGAGTTTCTTACTCTTGAGTTCCAATTTGATTGCACTGTGATCTGAGAGACTTTGTTATTATTTCAGTTCTTTTGCATTTGCTGAGGAGTGATTTACTTCTAACTGCGTGATCAATTTTAGAGTAAGTGCCATGTGGCACCAAGAAGAATGTATATTATGTTGTTTGGGGGCGAAGAGATCTGTAAATATTTATCAGGTCTCACTTGATCCAGAGCTGAGTTCAAGTCCTGAATATCTTTGTTCATTTTCTGTCTCGATGATCTAATATTGACAGTGGGGTATTAAAGCCTCCCACTATTATTGTGTGGAAATCTAAGTCTCTTTGTGGGTCTCTAAGAACTTATGTTATGAATCTGGATGCTCCTATATTGGGTGCATATATATTTAGGATAGTTAGCTCTTCTTGTTGAATTGACCCCTTTACTAATATATAATGCCTTTCTTTCTTTTTTTAATCTTCATTGGTTTAAAGTCTTTGTCAGAAACAAGTATTGCAACCTCTCCTTTTTTCTGTTTTCCTTTTGCTTGGTAGATTTTCATCCATCCTTTTCAGTCTGTGTGTGTCCTTGCATGTGAAATGGGTCTCTTGAATACAGCACACTGATGGATTTTGACTGTTTATCCAGCTTTCCACTCTGCATCTTTTATTTGGGGTATTTAGTGCATTTACATTTAAGGTTAATATTGTTATGTGTGAATTTTATTCTGACATCATGATAGTAGTTGGTTATTTTGCTGACTTATTTATTTTTTTGCTTCATAGTGTTACTGATCTGTGTATTTCAGTGTGTTTTTTATAGTGGCTGGTAACGGTTTTTCCTTTCCATATTTAGTGCTTTCTTCAGGAGCACCTGCAAAGGAGGCCTGGTGGTGACAAATTCCCTCAGCATTTGCTTGTCTGAAAAAGATTTTATTTCTCCTTCACTTATGAAGCTTAGTGTAGCCAGATATGAAATTCTAGGTTGGAAATTCTTTTCTTTAAGAATATTGAAAATTGGCCCCCAACCTCTTCTAGCTTATAAGGTTTCTGCTGAGAGGTCTGCTGTTAGTCTGATGGGCTTCCCTTTATAAGTGACCTGGCCCTTCTCTCTGACTGCCCTTAACATGTTGGGCATGATGGATGATTGACATTCATCCATCTCAGCCTTAGCCCAGGTCTGTGCCCTTGCTGGAGACATGTTGCAATCTTTTGGAGAAGAGGCATTTTGACTTTCTGAGTTTTCCATATCTTTGCATTCTTTCTCATTTTCATGGGTTTATCTACCTTTGATGTTTGAGGCTGCTGACTTTTGGATGGGGTTTTTGTGGTGTCTTTTTTGTTGATGTTGTTGCACTCTGTTTTTCTTTTAGCAGTCAGACCCCTCTTCTGTAGGGCTGCTGCAATTTGCCTGGGGTCCACTCCAGCCCCTATTCGCCTGGGTCTCTCACATGCCTGGAGATATCACCAGTGGAGGCTGTAGACCAGCAAAGATGGCAGCCTGCT